TAATAAAACTTGTCTAACAAGAGGGTCAAAAAGTTGTACTGTTACTGTGTTTTTGTTGATGGTCAAATGTGAGCAACGACAATAGTAAGAAGAATTTGTCCTATTGTTTGTACCATAACCTAACCATAACATAACTAACGAAGAGCAGGTGGTGGTAGTCGGTGGACGATTAAATTTACATTTAGATCATTTCACATTTGAAAATGCATTAGCGCAATTCCGAAGTGTTGTTTTTTTGTATCATTGTTGGTGTTTCCTTGTTCATTTTCATCTTTTTTTATGGAGAACATATTCAAACATCCAGATTTACAGGCCAGAAAATGACTCTTGCAAGATTTACTTATGCTTACTTATGCCAGCCTGCAGTTTGTCAGAACTTCTGCAGACTCAGAGGACTGTGGAATTTTCCAACTGGAGGCCCACCAGTTACTGGAAGACTGGCGAGAAAATTCCAGACCCACAGCACCAGCATGACAGGAGGGAGAAAGTCTCCAATGTGTGAGTGGTGTTTTTCCACGTGGACATCAGGTCAGGAAGGCAGTGCTTAGAAGACGGGAACCAACCAGGAAATCAGAAGTCACTCGTAGTCAGCAAGTCATGAGTTGGAGTTTTTTTTTTTTTCTGGTTGAGACTAGCTGTGAAAAATACTTCACGATTTAGCAACTTCCTGTGAACCCTCAGGCAGACGTCAGGGACCGGTCAGTCCAAATCCCCTGTTACTGGACCTGCCTGAAGCTCGAGGATTTCCGGAGCAGATGAGCGACAGTGACTAACGCAGTTCCTGAAACCGCGTTGACCCCCAACAGTCCAAGATTTCAAAATAAATGTCAGCGTAAAATATTTGTACAGTATATATTTGTTGAACTATTGAAGTATAGACACGACAAAAATGTCCGGCAAGAGCACTAAGCATTGCAAGCTTTGTTTTCAATCCAGAATAACTAAAGAAAAAAATAATCCTGCGATGTAGGCTGTGTAAACATTTTTCCTTCAACTGTGCCACGAAAGAAGCCAAAAGAATAACGAGGTGACAAAAGAACTTTCTGGAAACTGGTGTAAATTCAGAGTGTGGTGGTTGGAGTCTGACATGTCTTTTCCAAAAATGGACGACAAATCCCCCCAAGAAAACACGCCCAAAGAATCGGTTCCGTAGTGTAGCGGTTAGCACGCTCGCCTCGGCTGCGGAGAGCAGAAGAGCATATCTGCTGTTAACATACAAGTTTCCAATTATAGGATCAATATATTACTTTTTTTTTTTTTTAACGATGGAAATTTGCTCATTTTCAATTCATGGTTCCCATGTAAAATTGAATTTTAACATTGCAAACGTCGTACGTTTAGATATAAGACTTTCTGGATATATTTAAGGGTGATAGCAATGCAACCACAAAATGCTGTAGATCGGAAAACCATCGTAAACTGAGGACTTGCTGTACTAGGTGGTTAGGTATGAAACTAGCAAGAATTCCACTTAAGCATTTGGCATTTAATTCAATGCCTAATACAGTATACAACGGCCAAGCCAAGCCCTGCAGGTCAGCAGTGATACTGCACTTAGATGTACTAGAAAATTAAAATTTGAAGAAATCGTGTATGTGTTTTATAGTAAGTATAAGAAGCGGCTGATTTTTGATCACTACCAGAGTGATAAGAATTATGTTCCAAGGCTCTGCCGTGAGAACTGAATTTCCGCGAAGTAGTGACACCATATTTATGCGCAGTAAAATGACGACAAGGAAGGTGCCGATGACTTTTACTGCGCGGCCGATGATTGATTTTATGTCTCTCCAGAGGGTGGTGCCATTTCTTGGGGCACCTCTTCCACAGTTTCCGTTAAAAGTCCAAAAAGTATTTTATATGAATATTTCAAAAATCAACCAAAACATGCCTTACTATAGCCTTACCATCGTGAAAAAATCCATAAAAATAGAAAGTCCCCGAAATGCCTTAAAATAGTAGTAGCAGGAACCAGCTCTTTTTTTACGAGGCTGCAAAAACATTGCGATCGGCAGTTGCTTCCGCTGCTTCTTTTTCCAGTCGAAGAGTAGCTCGTGGGCAGCCGTGACGTCGTCGATTTTGTTGCAAAATTGGATCCAACCGTATCGTCGTCCCCATTCCTGTGACATCTCTCGCGGATCCAAATCCGCGATACGGTATATTTTATATATATACAGTTTTCAAAAACCTGCGAAAGATGAACCACGAAATAGCGAGGGACTACTGTATACTAGAATAGAATAGCCTTTATTGTCCTTGTACAGTGTACAACGAGATTTGAGCGCTACTCACTTGGTACAAAAAAAAAAAAAAGAGTAGAAGAAAACAATATATCAAACATATAACAAACATATCTTTGGTGTGATTAGTTATTGCACATAGTTGTTTCTTTATTGCACAGTAATCAATATGATCAGTGAAGTGTGAAACTGTGTGGACTATTTTAACTGGTTTTGTTACTATTGTTCACTGCTGAGATAGCTTTCGAGAAGAAGCTATCTCTGAGTCTGTTTGACCTGGTTTTGTGTGACCTGTACCGTCTGCCTGACGGTAACATGTCGAACAGAGAGTTACTGGGGTGGGACGGGTCCTTGATGATGTTGCTAGCTCTGCTGAGGTAGCGAGAGTTGGCGAGATGTCCTCCAGGCTGGGCAGAGAGCAGCCAGTGATCTTCTGGGCTGTGTTGATGACTCTCTGAAGTAAATGTAAAGAAAAGAAATTCTGAATTCTGAAACCTTTGGTCTTATTCTGTCTACTTTTGTGTTTAGTACAGGAGGAACTCTATTTGATGTGTTTAATCAGGTTTCCCTGTTATTTTTGGCAAACAGGTTAGAGTACAAGCCTTTGGCGTCCAATACCTCAAAGCAGCAGAGCCGAAACACCCATGGACACAAACTCCAGTCAACATGAACACACGCACACTCACACACACACACAGAGAAAGTGCTATTACATAACCTGAGGTGTGGCAACAAGTGTTTATAATGTGATTGTTCCCACGGGTACAAAACATATGAAAAAAAAAAAATCGGAGTCATATTAGGACACGCACAGACATACTCTCTCACTGTCATCCAGATCAGACATGACTTCATTCGCCGTCCTGCACTTTAGTCACTCCAGGAGTCGCTCATACAGAAATCTGTCACTCACTTCTCACAATCTGTAAACGGTTTGTTTCGGACGAAACTCTGAGCTCATCTACGTTTTCTTGGAAGAGTGAAGGAATCCTGTCGGTGAGAGACGCGAAACGTGAAACAACGATGCGTTAGGTTTGTCTGTGTGCAGTACAGTCAAATATGTCGGACTACATCTGAACCTTCAGGAATTTTCTTTGAAGAAATTAGTTTCCTAAATATAAATAAATATAAATAAAATACATTTGTAGTATATTTCCCAAATATGGAATCAATATTTGCTATATTTTGCAAGCATGTGACCAGGCAGGGATGCTAACCGCTACAGTATGGAACCAACAATCTAAAACAAGATTACATTTAGGAATTTTCTTTGAAGAAATTGACTTTCCTAAATATATATATATACACATATATGTATACATATATATATATATACATATATACATATATATACATATATACACATATATACACATATATATACACATATATATATATATATATATATATATGCACGTACTACACTAAGACCACAAGTCACTACTTATCTCTAATTTATGATTCGCCTGTACTCCACTGTGTACCGTGATTTTCTAAGGAGAAATGTTTGTCACGTGTTGACGTCAAACGGTGTTGCTTCAGCACGATCCCTTGATTACTGATCTGCTGTTACTTCAACTTTTGAATTTCTTCAGAATCAAATTCACCGATTCAGGACTGACTAAACAACTGAAAATCAATGCGACAAAGAAACATAAAGATCCGTAAATCTTTGGGCCTAAAGCGCTTAAAAGCCTTTAATTTTCTCAAAAATCGACAGTGCAGCCTTATGTATTACGTCTGGTTGTGCTAACTGAGCTCGAACCGGTTTTAAAAAGCCAAACTACCAAACTAAATATTAATTTTTTTTATTTCTCCTTTTTTTTATCAATACAGGCAAAACACCAACACGGTGACCGCCCAGAACAGAAATAGTGACAACCGCCTGACTCTGGAGGGGCGAACAACAGCGCCCTCCAGTGTCCAACTTAAGTCACTACCCTTTTCCACAAATCCCCGTCCCTATTGATCTGCGACGATCGTTGACTGTTTTGTTTCGCTTAATGCGCCTTATAATGCGGTGTGTGCGCCTTATGGTCCGAAAAATACGGTACCCTAAACTCTCTCCCTAATGTCAGGCAGGATAGGCTCCAGCTCATCCCATGATCCTTAGCAGGGATAAACAGTAGAAGGTGAATGTCTCTGTCTACCGAGGGCTGCACAGGAAGTTCATAACATCAATTTTGTCATCACGGCACTATACACGCAGCCTCTAGAGCAGGGGTCTCAGACTCGCGGCCCGGGGACCAAGTGTGGCCCGCAGTACAATATTTTGTGGCCCGCACCTTAATATGAAAGTATAATATTAGTGTGGCCCGCGGAGAAACTGGACCTCCGAAGAGCCAATCAGCAAGCTCCCGCGCGCCGTCCCTTGTCGGGGATAGGCTAAGCTACACCAGCTTCGTGCACTTCACGCTTGTAACAACAGCACGGCGTGTAATGAACAGCCAGACAGCAGTCGCCTTTGCGCTTGCCATCTATCGTACTTTCTACCACAAATGTCATGATCAAGTGCAAAAAGAACGGCGACTGTTACCGGGCTGTTTATCGTGTACTCTGCTGTTACAGATAGAAGCGTGTGACATTCCCCGACCAGCGCCTCTCCCCCTCCGTCACAAAGCGGAAATGACGTTATGCGTTAAGACATTCTCTGTGCGCAATTAGCCAGCTAAACACTTGTTTGCCGTGAACGTGAAACAAGAGCGTTACTAAGCGGAATCAATTAGAATCTAATTTTCAATTAGATTTTGTCCTACCCTAGTCATGTCTTCATCAAAGCCTGCAGTGAAGAGAAGGGTTGGTGACGAGCACAGACAATTTCAAGAAAAGTGGGAGACGCAGTATTTCTTTCTTGAGCACAGGGGCATCCCCACATGTCTTATTTGCACAGAGAAACTTGCAGTGCACAAAGAATACAATGTTAAACGCCATTATTCAACTAAACATGCTGAGGAATGTGCAAAATACCAGGGGGATAAGAGAGCCAAGCGGATTGCCAGTCTTAAAGCATGTCTACTGAAGCAACAAGATTTCTTCAAGAAAGCAACCAAAGAGAATATTGCAGCAGTAGAAGCTAGCTACATGGTTAGTGAGATGATTGCTAAGGCAGGGAAACCATTCACAGAAGGCGAGTTTGTTAAAAAATGCATATTACAGGCTGCAAGTATTATCTGTCCGGAAAAGAAAAGTCAGTTTAGCAACATGAGCCTTTCTGCCAACACTGTGGCAGAGCGCATTTCTGACCTGTCAAGTGACATTTATCAACAACTGTGTGAGAAAGCAAAATGTTTTGATGCATACTCAGTCGCTCTTGACGAGAGCACAGACATAACAGACACTGCTCAGCTCACAATTTATCTCCGTGGTGTTGATAGCAATTTTGAAGTGACGGAGGAGCTGCTCACAGTAATTCCAATGCATGGCCGGACCACCGCTAATGAGATATCTCGTCATCTATGTGATGCCATTGAGAATGCCGGTTTGCCATGGAAGAGGTTTGTTGGAATAACAACTGACGGAGCGCCATCAATGACAGGGAGGAAAAATGGACTGGTGGCACTGGTGGTTCAAAGGAAACTGGAAGAGGAGGGTGTAGAGGAGGCCATTGCTCTGCACTGCATTATCCATCAGCAGGCTCTTTGCAGCAAATGCCTGAGGTGTGATAATGTGATGTCTGTTGTTGTAAATTGCGTCAACCAAATCAGATCCAGGGGCTTAAAGCACAGGAGGTTCCGTGCTTTTTTAGAGGAAATGGAGTCAGAATATGAAGATGTGCTCTATTTCACCGAGGTACGTTGGCTCAGTAGGGGAAATGTCTTGAAAAGATTTTTTGAGTTGAGAGAAGAAGTGAAAGCCTTCATGGAGAAGGATGGGAAGGCTGTTCCTGAGTTAAGTGATCACAAATGGCTCATGGACTTAGCTTTTCTTGTTGACATCACACATGAGCTGAATATACTGAACACAAAGTTACACTCATCTGCGCTGCCTATGACAACGTGAGAGCATTCTCCACAAAACTTGTGTTATGGAAAGCCCAGCTCTCTCAGACAAACCTTTGCCATTTCCCAGCATGCAAGACACTTGTGGATGCAGGCACACCATTCAGTGGTGAGAAATATGTTGATGATATTTTGAAGCTACAGAAGGAATTTGATCACAGATTTGAAGACTTCAAGACGCACAGAGCCACTTTTCAAATTTTTGCAGACCTCTTTACCTTTGATGTGCAAGATGCCCCTCCTGTGCTTCAAATGGAGCTCATTGACCTGCAATGCAACTCTGACCTCAAAGCCAAGTTCAGGGAGATAAGTGGAAAAGCAGACAAGCATGGGCAATTTTTGAGAGAATTGCCCCCCAACTTCCCTGAGCTTTTCCGAATGTTGAAGCGGACCAGGTGCCTTTTTGGCAGCACATATTTGTGTGAAAAGTTCTTCTCCACCTTGAACTTCAATAAGTCCAAGTACAGATCTAGACTTACTGATGATCATCTTCAAGCCATACTGAGGGTCTCAACTGCTTCCTCTCTCAAGCCAAATGTAGTTCAGATTTGTGAAAAGAAGCGCTGTCAAGTCCCTGGCAGCAAGGAGTAGGCAAGAGCAGCCATGTTCAGAAGAACCGTTCATGAGTTTCACTCAATGTTCCATTCATGTTCAAAACATTTCATGTTCAGAAGAAATCATTAAAGCTGTTAACTGTTAACATTTGAGGACTTTTTTTTTTTACTTTATTGTTGAATCCCTTATGCGGCCCACCCTCGCCCAGACTCTGCCTCCAGCGGCCCCCAGGTAAATTGAGTTTGAGACCCCTGCTCTAGAGGCACATGCAGGTTCCACGCAGACTCAGCGTGAACCAATAGAAGACACCCACGGAGAACAACTTGTTCTGTTTTTAGTACACGCACTGTATTTTCTTTCCTATTATCTCAGGCGACAATTTACAACGTCACTCAGTCTGCAATAATCAGCAGCGCTGCCCCCTGTAGGTCCAGAACAGTTGATAATACACTTTGAATGACAGTGAATCCAATTTAAGCCCCGGTGTGGTCAGCAGTTTTACCGATACAGCGCCACATACCGCGACACGTACAGACACATACTGACTGTCATAATCCCCCGTGTATTTTTTCTCGCCGACAGCCTCAGACTTGCGAGTTTGGGTTCAACTTCTGTCTCGTTTGAGTCATCAGCTCTTCCTCAGTAAGCAAAGAAAGAAAGTAATGGTTCACAACATTCCAACATTGTCAACCATACCGAAACAACCCACAAAGCAAGATAACTTGGAAATAACATCAATATCGCGGGTTTGAACGCAACTCCGTAGGATCACGGACGAGGTACTGTAAGTAGTGGTCAAAAGGTCATCAAAAAAAAAGCAAGTCAACCCCCGGATAATTGACTAAAGGGTTAAAAAAACAAATAAACAAACAGTAAAAAGCCCTAGGTAATGTTTCAAAATTCCTCCAAGAAACATTTCACAGGGACAAAAAAAAATCGTCCTCCTCTATCCCACTCCCAGATACACGTGGGAATGTTTCAGAAAGGCTCGGTCTTTGTAGCCACGACAACAGAATGTAAACATAATGTTGTCATAACTGTTCATGTTGCTAAGTAAACAGGTAGCCCCTCACACTGTTACTATACGATGTATCACGAGGCTACATATGTAATTAACACTGATGCATTAATGCGTTACAAGGATGAGGCTTCGTCACTTCACTCACCGGGCTGTCACCTCTCACCAATGATGAGACATTCTCCTTCTCGCACGGGGCAGGCATTTAAACTGTTTTAGCACCCCCTAGCGGTGAAATCGAGTTATTGAATCACTGTGTTTATGAGTGATACTCCTAATTTAATTAATACATCTTATTTGAAAGGCGTCATTTTAAGCAACAAAAGCAGATATCTTAAGTATTACCGATCACCCTGTAATACTTAAGATACTTTAAAAGTTTGGGGGGGGTTTTTGCTCCGTATTAGAACACATTTTGGTAACCGTTCAAAAAAAATACACATCAACATACTACAATAAATGTTTATTTCCCATTGTTTAAAAAAAACAACAAATATTGAACAATCATTTACAACGATTTACACATTTTACATATTTGAGTGCGAAAATTGTACAATGCAAAATGATGTTTTCGTGAGAAAAAAAAAATCCAGTGTGGATCGTACTCTTGACAGTGACAGTCTCAAATGAGAAACGTACTCCAAACTACTTCATGTTTGGAGCTCGTTTACAACTCTTTGTAACGTTCAATTCAGTGACACAAATTGACCTTACGCCAAACGCCGCTGTCACACCTGACGAGACCCAGCGGTCCGGAGAAATTCGACAGTATTTCATGAAGACCTTGCAGATAAACGTGGCATCTGTCACTTTTTTTTTTTTTAAACTCGCTTGCAGCCATCATGCCACCACACATTCCAGCTGATCCGATGCTCCGCCTACGGTCTGGACCCTCCAGGGTTCCTCCCCTGTCCTTCCCGTCGCCGCACAAACGCTCACTTCACCTTCTTGGGCTTGACATGCCGACAGGTCTGGGAACTGGCTCTGAACCTCTGCAATTTGACGAGGACGTGGACAATTAGTAACTTTTCTTAACGACTCAGGAGATTAAGCAAATTTAGTTATGCTTCAAGGCAACAAATTTGTAGGTAAAGGATCACAGACGCAATTAAATTTTTTTTTTTTTTTTAATCCCAGAAAATCTTTACGTTTTATCGACTCGGTTAGTTGACAAGTCACTTGGACGCACCGCACGGCGTCAGATCAGCAGCCAGCCTATAAATGGCTGAGCAAGTGCAGACATACCTGCGCAGGTGTGCGTCTCCTCGGTGCAGATCTGCAGGAAGACAAGTGCAGAGAGGAGCAGGAGCCAGCGACAGGCCCGGTCAGGGGCCTCTCTGGGCAGGGGCCTCCTGCTCCTGCAGGCAGGATACAGGACCCGACGGGGACGGCGAGACCGGGGGTGCAGGATGCAGGGGGTGGAGACGTTGGTGGACGTTGCTTCCAGAGGCCCCAGGGACACGGGGGCCAGTCTGTGTGCGGATGACGAGGACATGATTAACGTTCGAGGATCGTCTCGCATTCAGCTGGGTCTGTTCTACAATTTCTTTCTTTTCTCCTTCTCGGGTTTTTTCGCGTCTTTTCTCTTCGGGCTGAGCTCGCGTTGTTGTTTTCTCTGCTCTCAGGCTATGCACTGATACCTCAAAACAAATCACTTCTGCTGTCTCAGCTGTTGCTGCAGTTACTTCACCGTCACTTCTGGCTGAAAACTCTTCCTGGAGAGTCTTTCTGACTAACAAAGTGCCTCAGTCTCCCCGTAGGACGCTTGTCTCTTGTTCTGGAAGTCTATGTCCATCACTTTGTACCTCTAAAATCTGCACACAGACTCTTTAAATATCTGCCGAGTAGGTGTTGTCAGATTGCCCCTAGCCAGGTAGACCACACCCACTCTGAAATTATAGTTGATGTGAGATAAAATTATTTTTAGATGCACGCAAACCACTTAACCCCAACTTAGAAAATTCCTCCAGTTTTTCTTTGTCTTTGTGTTTCAGTGCTGTCTGTAAATCTCACCTGCAGCTGCAAAATTGCACGTGTTGCAGATGTAGGTGGGGGGGAGTGCATAGGTTAATGACTAAGTTCACCGAGAAAAATCAAGGGGGTGACGGGGTCCAGTAGGAGGAGACGTCTCTTTGCAAAAAAAAAAAAAAAAAAAAGCTTTCACTTGGGATTAAAAAAAAAAAATCACCTTAAAAGCCCCGACTTAATGACAGGTCTGTAACTGACTAAATCAAAGCTGACACCCGAGGTCAGGTGAGGCAGACTGAGCATTCATGTAAAAAAAAAAATTTTAAAAATCACCTTCCAAATTCAAGGTGTCTCAACTGCCAAAAGCTAAGAAAAGGTAGTGTGTACAAGCCGTTACACATCACGCTGCGGTTGCTCTAAATCTGTGTAAATACGGGTATGTAAAAATGAATGACTTCACAGCTGTCATTACTGAAGCCAAAATAACTCTATCAACCACTTGTGCTTTTTTTTTAAAGCAGGGCAGAAGTCAAACATGTCTCTATAGGCGGTTTCTGTAAACACATTTATAAACGTTCAACTGTAAGTTTTTTTTCTAATGACGTAAACGTTTCCGGTTGGACAGCACAATGATATGAACGCGGGAAATTAGACGGCCGATTATTTAAACATTTTATTAGTCTGATAACGTAATTAAAGTCGATAAACCGACAATAAATGCAGCTTCGTTCTGGAATTAATCGTCAACGCATTGCGCTGAACGAGACGGCGCCATTTTAAGCCCCCGACGCACGACATCTTGCCACTGACGTCACACATCACAAAAGATGGCGATGAGATAACAATTCCGTCATGTATTTAACAATTGTCAGTGTCAGCAATTCACTTCTGGAACGGCTCTTTTACACACGACGATGCTTTAATTAGTGTGACTTTGTCAACAGCTCTGTCAATGGCAATGACTTTCGCGAACAACCCATAAACCTCCTCCCGTATACAGCTTTAGCTTCTATGCTAATTAAAAAAAGAAAAACTCACCCGAAAATGGCCTCTCATGACGTAATCTCTACCACCGCGCGGTCTTTTATACGTTTGTAGTTGTCAATCCAAACGTTGGTTTCGTTTTTATGATGATTATTAAATATCGCTCGCTCATTGTTCCTAAAATAGCACAAATTAGCATCCATCTGCTCACCGTGTTTTCCCGGTCACTGATTGAAAGAGAATGCGTATGATTCAGAGTTACGTTCAGTGACCGGGATTCTCGCTCGGACGTACGAATTTCCGCGTATAAAACAAGGTTTACGATCCTTTTTTTTTTTTTATGTTTTATTTGACATTTTAAATATTGTATAGTTTGGCACGATTTTCTATGGATGGCTTCACACAGAATTATTTTTGTATTTCCCCTATCAACCCCCTTGGCTGACAAATATAATACATAATACATAACACTCTTT